TAGTCAAGTTCATAAATATACATTAATTATTACTTGATTAAAAAATTAATATTAAATCCTACAAGACGATGTTAAGTGACAACATGTCACCAAATAATATTATTGATTAAACATGTCTAGATGACGAAACATAATGCGACTTTAGTTCTTGTCAAATTTTTTTTGACTTAGATCATATTGTAAATTTATGCCATTTTTTCAAAATGATTTTTGTTGATTGATATAGTAAATAACGTCATATAGTAGCACATTTGCACTTAACGACACCACATATGATTTCAACTTAATTTCCCTTATCGAGTGATCATTAGTATAATATTTAAAAATTTGAGTGACTATTACCATAAGGGAATACTTGATACTTCAAATAAAATGTTGCCTCCGTGACGCAATACATGTATATCATTTCTACCTTCCGATGCATGCTTGCCGTATTAATGAACTGAGGTATAATCTCATTCCGTTCAATGTAGTGTTTTTCAAGATTGCAGAATATGCAGGGATTGCAAGCTCTTGAGCACCATAAAGATATTCTTCCATAGGATTACAAGAGTGACCATCGAACTTCTTAGTTTTTATTTCTTAAAAATTGAAGTTAAAAATATTTTCTTCTGTTTTCCTACAATAGGAATTACACTAACCTGCAAAGTTAAGGAAAATCGCACTCGCAACACCAAGCACGTAAACCCCAACCGCCGCCACAATAACTTCCTTCCCGGGCTTCAGTCAACAAAACTCTAGCAATCCCAACAACCCCGTATGGGATCCACTTCAAAACCTCCTTCCCGGTAATGCATTCGAAACGTTGATGTTCGTAAAAACCTCCACGAACATGCCTTGAACTCTACTTCGTCAAGAACCGACTCATCAATTTTAACATGTCAAACCAACCGACGAGAAAGAATGATTTTGTATGCCCGATCAACCTAGTCCCATTTTGGGGGATGTGGATACCATTTGGAGATAAGGGTGTGAAAAGTAAGGCCCTGTTTGGTGCACAATTTTGCACCAAGAATGCATTTTTTGTTTTGATGTGATGGAGAATGTGTGGTTGAAAAAGAAGGAAAAGTTATTGATGTAATAGAAAATATTATTTTATTGAAAAATGTGTGGTTGAAAATGAGTAGAAGAATGAGAATGAAAAAAATAAACAGGCCTAATAATTAAACCAAATAACACATAATACATTGAAGATGCGAAGGAAGACTCAGATTATTACCAGTTGAAGTGCACCATTTCTTGTTCCTCCTATACCATTTGAAATCACGTCTGTAGTCGAGGTTCTAGCAATCATACATGGAAACATTTCCGCCCATTTATTCTGTAAACATAAAGCAGTATTGTACTAATCATCTTCTCCAATGAATTAATCGAAAAACTTGAAAGATTGCAAAAACATTACGAGTTGAATTCTCACCGAGACCATCAATGTCTCAACAAGAGCCAAACTGTTGATGATTACCATACCAGTTGCTCGAGAGGCCTCAGTTACGAAACCTTTGGGCTTCATTCCAATAACAGGAGTAAATATTCTAGCGTATTCCACGTGGTTCAAAATTTCTCTTCCACCTTCCAAGCTCCCGAGCCAAAGGGGTTCATCGTTTTGTGCCATTTTTACCAATTCATCCATTGCAGCCAAAGCAAGCTCCGAATACATAGATCTCTCAATTGGAATTACATTCATTGTTGCCTTAGTTGGAGGCACTACAGGCAAAGGACTCGATATCCCAACCCCAAAATCAGGAGGCCCCAAAGGTAAAGTTTCTGGAATGGTCGCTATGCCTCCAAATCCACTGTTACCAACTCCAAGTTCCAAACTCGAGTTTGGCAATGGTTGCCCCATGGAATTCACAGCAGATGAAATAGGGCAGCCTAAAACCTTGCCTGCAAGCACGCAAACGCGATCTAATNTGTCCATTCATACAATGACAATAACCATTGGAGTTTCACCAGTTTCAAATTTAATGACAATAATCATTGTAGTTTCAGAAACCACAAGTCAGTTGTTGAAAGAAAAAAATTAACAAAACGTAGGCCATCCTAAGGAGCCAAGTTTTGGTCAATTCGGTTCGACATTCGTGTACGCAGGTCGCTCCCGCACGCAAGTTCAAGGTCTGAAGCCTATTTCAGCCCGTGATTTGCACCCCCCTACGCGCGCACGTGGAGAGAACATCTATGTTACACTTACACATGATTATACAGTTCCAAAGTGTAGCCATATATAAAGTGGTTCTTGCTTTCATAGACTTCCTATGTGAAATAAACTCAAATTTAGTTTTCCCTGCAACTTAAACCATATTCCAATGGTCCATTTTGAACTCCAATTTCTCATTCACCCGAACTTCATTTTTGACAAGTAAATACATGATTTTGATGTTCTTGCGGAGGAGAACACAAATCAATATTGATCTTTCAAAATAAGCAAACGGGTCACACTCAAAATTTATGCCAAAGTCAGCAATCACCTCATTTTTTCCAACAATCCCCCACATGAATGAAAATTGGAATAGACACAAAATGTGAAATAAAGATTTGGTGATAAAGTTCAACGGTTGAAACCTGCATATGATATGTAGGTATTACTCTTTGAACATTCCCTTATGAAAGCATATTTACTTTACTAGCTAACCAGTAGAAGCGCTGTCTTTGAACTGTCCTGCCATTTGTATAAATGATGATACACTACACCCTAACACAACTTAGTTCTCATTATCATGTTCGTTTTTGGTCATGAACATATGCTTGGTTCTGCTAGAGTTCTTAAGAATTGAGCCCTACACAATTCTCTTAGAAGCGGCCCCATTTCTCTCTCACATATGATTTCTTATTACAAGTAACCTGCATTACTTGGCTCGATTTTCGACACATAAAAATCATTAAAAATCTGTTACTTATCCTTCATCCTTACGGGCATCACTGTTATATCATAGGAATGGACATGAGACAACATTCCCCCACAGTGATTTAATTAAGTCTTTACAATTATGTTGTCTCTTTGAACCTAGATCTTGAGATCTCTAATCAACTAGGTTGGGTTTCCTTTGCATTAAATTATACGTTTAAGGATTTAAGTCACATTCCTTTAGATGATTTCCCAACTAACTCTCTATTTAACCCTTTGGTTGGCGGATCTGCAATGTTATCATTTGACCTTACATAGTCAATAGTGATAACTCCAATTGAGAGAGGTTGTCTTATGGTATTGTATCTACGACGTATATGTCTGGACTTTTCATTGTACATGTTACTCCATGTCCTTCCAATTGATGATTGACTATGACAATATATGCAATTGTTAGCACAGGTTTCGGCCATCTTGAAATATCCTCTAAGAAGTTGAGTAACCACTCAGTCTCTTCACCACATTTATCTAAAGTTATAAACTCAGATTCTATGGTAGATCTAGCTATAACGGTTTGTTTAGAGGATTTTCAAGATATAGCTGTACCTCCCAATGTGAACACAAATCGACTGGTAGATTTGAAGTCTTTTATATCAGATATCCAATTTGCATCACTATATCTTTCAATGACTACTGGATATTAGGTATAGTGCAGTCCAAAATTACGAGTGTATCTTAAGTATCTTAGTACTCTTACTATTCTTTTCTAGTGGTTAGCTCTTGGATTACTCGTGTATCTACTCAATTTACTAACTGTGTATGCTATATCTGGTCTTGTATAACTCATCAAGTACATCAAAATTTCAATAATTCTATAGTATTTTACTTGAGAGACACTCTTTCCTTTGTTTTTAGATAGATGCTGACTCGTATCTATCAGTGTTCTAGTCATTCCAGTATCATCCTTGCTGAACTTTTCTAAGATTTTGTCCATAGAATGTGACTGGTTTTGCACAAGTCCATCTGATGTTCTGCTAATTTTAATTACAAGTATGATATCAGCTAAACTCATATCTTTCATGTCAAATCTTGAATTTAACATAGTTTTAGTAGATTTAATCACCTATCGTTGCTACCAATAATAAGTATGTTATCAACATAAAGATATAAAATGATATAACCATTTTCGGTGTTTTGACGTAGACACATTTGTCACACTCGTTAATCTTAAATCCACATTCCAACATGACATTGCCAAATTTTTCATATTATTGTTTTGGTGCTTATTTCAAACCATATAACGACTTCACTAATTTACAGACTTTCTTTTCTTGCCCTGGTGATGAAAACCCATCGGGTGTTCCATGTAGATTTCTTCCTCTAACTCTCCATTCAGGAAAGCAATTTTAACATCCATTTGATGTATTTCAAGCTTTCGTAGAGCAACAATCGCAAGTATCATCCTAATAGATGTTATTCT